TTTTGCACTGATTGAATTGCCCCCCAGCCCAATTGTTTGGCTCCGCCCCTTCCTGGGGAAGTGGGCAGTGCTTTCTTTTCATTCCACCATCAAACATCTCAGCAGATGGATGTGAGAAAGGCTTGGCTCTAAAGCCCCCAGTCAAGTCATCTCTTATCACCAATTCTTAAGTTTGTACTCTTAAGATTCATGCTTCATGTTCAGATCACCCTGGATGATGTTGAGGAATCTTAAGTGCCTTCAAATCAGTCCTTTGGCATCAAGAGGAAGACTTTGTGCCTTCAAATATAGGTCATTGGACTGGGGTTATGAATGTTCAGGCTTTCACAGCCATTGAGAAAGAGGGAACTTGGAAAGCTTCTCAGCTGGGAAACTCCTTGGACCCAAGACTTCAGAGACTGTAACATATATTTACCCCTGTTGAAACATCAAGTTTATGCCTAAGAAAGGTAACTCATTGTGAACAATAAAGCCTATTTCGAGTTATCTATAGTGTCTTGATCCTTGAGAGTTCCAGTTCTCTAAAGGAGGGCAAGAAGCAATCCCCTGGGGAAAAGATGCCACATCCATGTTTCTTTCACTAAGATCTATAGCCCCCAGGCGCGACGGCATACCCATTCATTCTCCTCCTACCCTCTTTTTTCACTACCTCACCTCATTCCTAGCAACATGACAAAAAGCCTAGAAAAGCAAATAGGCAAAAAAGTGCCACATGCATTGAGGAAGAAAAAGAGTGAGTCGTTCCTCCTGAGGAAACTGAATCTTCTCCTCTCTCTTCAGATGAATGCAACAGCACAAAGACCACCCATTCTATCTGTGTGCATGCCACTCCTTCCCTGTCATAACTTCCTGCTGGCACCGCTTGCACTACCCATGTCACCAAGTGGAAGGAGAAGAGCCCGTAACACCGTACCCCTGGAATTTTCATGAATGATTATAATCCAAGCAGCTGGCCAACAAATCATCAAAAGCTCTTGCTTTCTTGTATAGTGGATTGATGCCATTGAAGAAGAAGACCCAGAACTCTTGTAGATAACTGTTATGCACGACTCTGTCAAATCCTTTTTGTCTATCATTATTGCCCATGTTAAATTGATATTTATTAACATGGAAAATATCAATTTATTTTAGATATCCTAAATCTTTACTGTGTGCCATAATTTTTCATATTCGTTAGAACAAATGTAAAGCAAGATTAGAGTCTTGAGTGAAATAACTAAAGTCATGTTGCTTTTCAAACCATAGGTCTGGTTGAAAAGCACTCTTGACCTCTGGAACAGGAAAAGGGCCCAACTTGGATACTAGTCACTATAACACCAATGAACAATGTAGTTTTTAATTTTTAAAAATGATGTAATAATTCATGTAACTGCTCTTGCAAGATCCTGTGAGGAAACTAAGATGACAACTCACTATATTCTCATCTAGGTAGGTATTCATTTTAGGAAGAGAACCAGCATGGTGTACTTTGGATATTGATGTAGAACTCTGGAGCAAATCACACTTGCTCTTAGAGGAAAGTAAAGGTTAATCCCTGTCTGAACAAATCTTGTGGGGGGAAAACTATAATAAGTTAGCTACAGGGTCACTATAATCCAGAAATTACTTGAAGGAACACACAATAAATATGAACTTAATTCAATTGTTGTACAGTTAAGCTCAACATGTAAGAAGTCTCAGCCCCTGGCAATAGAGCATATAACCATATTATATTGGTATAAGAGATCATCTCCTTTCATAACTTACAAAAACTAAAAATGACCTATGAGGTCAATGAAGGGTTGATATGTATATTATGTATTTTTGCTTGCACTGTGTTAATAACCCTTCCTTGAATGACTGGGAAAACATGGAATCWTAGAGATGGAAGAGACCTCATGGGCCATCCAGTCCAACCCCCTGCCAAGAAGCAGGAAAATCAAATTCAAAGCACCCCTGACAGATGACCATCCAGCCTCTGTTTAAAAGCTTCCAAAGAAGGAGCCTCTACCACACTCRGAAGCAGAGAGTTCCACTGCTGAACAACTCTCACAGTCAGGAAGTTCTTCCTAACGTTCAAATGGAATCTCCTTTCTTGTAGTTTGAAGCCATTGTTCCACGTCCTAGTCTCCAGGGCAGCAGAAAACAAGCTTGAGCCCTCCTCCCTATGAGRTCCTCTCACATATTTATACATGGCTATCATGTCTCCTCTCAGCCTTCTCTTCTTCAGGCTAAATATGCCCAGCTCTTTGAGCTGCTCCTCATAAGGCTTGTTCTCCAGACCCTTCATCATTTTAGTTGCCCTCCTCTGGACACATTCCAGCTTGTCAATATCTCTCTTCAATTGTGGTGCCCAGAATTAGACACAATATTCCAGGTGTGGTCTAACCAAGGCAGAATAGAGGGGTGACATGACTTCCCTGGATCTAGACACTAGACTCCTATTTATGCAGGCCCATATCCCATTGGCTTTTTTGCCACCACATAACATTGTTGGCTCATGTTTAACTTGTCCATAAGGACCCCAAGATCTTTTTCACCCATACTGCTCTTGAGCCAGGTGTCCCCCATTCTGTATCTTTGCATTTCATTTTTTCTGCCTAAGTGGAGTATCTTGCATTTGTGACTGTTGAACTTCATTTTGTTAGTTTTGGCCCATCTCTCTAATCTGTTAAGATTGTTTTGAATTCTGCTCCTGTCTTCTGAAGTATTGCCTATTCCTTCCAACTTGGTGTCATCTGCAAACTTGATGATCATGCCTTCTAACATAAAGAAGCCAATCCTATTGATGGTTTTGTCACTCTTAACTTAATACACTGTCATATAGCTATAGACTAGGAATGGACAAACCCAAGCCTGCAGGCTTGACTCAGCCCCTTGGGCTCTTTCCTTCAGCCCTTGTCTGCCTCAGACCTTCTTTCAGCATCCGGACGAGGTGGCCCTCAGGTCATTTATCCAACCCCTGCCCTAAACTTTAGATTTAGGGTTACCCTAAGTCTGAAATTACTTGAAGGCACACAACAACAACAGCAACAACAACAACAGCTAATTAACTTGTCTATCTCATCAGGCAGAAGCACATTCACACTTCCCATTGAAAAGCAGATAAGTTGGTTAAAATATTCTTCATTTTAAATATTGTATTTGGTTTTTTCATGTTTTTGTACTGCAGATAAGATATATGCAGTGTGCATTGGAATTCATTCATTTTTTTGTTCAAATAATACCCCACCCCGCACAGTTTGAGAGAACCATGAACCGGCCCTGTCCTTTAACATTTTGAGGAGCCCTGCTTTAATATTTCTAATCTCTGAAATTCTTTCATTGGGCTTTCCATTTGAGGAGAGTACCATTGCCCAGAGCAAAACATCTTATATAGATGTACAAAGAACATGTTTTGATTATTTTACAAAAAGGACCAGACTCCATAATCCATAACCTCGGGAATATGATTTCATTCATTTATTCCATGAAAAATTGTTAGAGAAAGAAGCCAAAAGTTTGCACGAATCTAATTCCTGAGTGCTAGTTGTCAGTATTTGTTTGAAATGGGAAGATGCTATAGAAACAGGTTCTGAAAGATATCCCACCAGTCAACTATGGGTGAGGAGAACCCACTCCACATTTCAACCTCTGAAATTTGGTCTAACTTTAAAAACAGCATCAATGATATTAAGGAGTAGGAGAAGTAGCAGCATATTAGTTTCTGGTGTTCAAAGTACTTTATATGCATTATCTAATAGCAACAATTTACAAGGACATTGTAATTGTAATAATTGTAATTATATTATGGTAAATCCATAATATAATTTCTCTACTGCAGTTGGTTGAAACTAAAGCTGAGAGAGAATAGCTTGCCTAAGGTTATCCAGGGAACTAAAGTAGAGAAAATAGTCAAGACGGAGGTGTTTTAATATACACTTTTCTGGGAAGGGGCTTGTTACTATTCGGTATCACAAGGAATGCAAAGAGGCTCCTGTATGCTGCTTGCATGGGATTTCCCTGTGAGCCCTGCCTGTTGGGCCAATCGGAATAGAAGAGCACCGAGACATGTGTTATGCAAGCTGTGTCTGCTTCCTTAACCCCATTGCTTATACCCAGGCTCCCTTGAAGGGAACAAAGAAAAGGGTCCCAGGAACAAAAAGAGGAGCCTTGTAAGTTCCCCACTGGGCCGGATCTAGCTGTATTTTTCAACTGCGAAACAAAAACAGCAATCCAACCCACCCATTTTCAGGAGGCACGCAAAAATGGATATTGGTGTCAACTGGAATCTGACCAGGAAAAACGGATCAAGGGTCAGCCAAAATCCACAAGCCTAATAGCTATAGGGGGACCATCTGACTGGTCACACAAACAAATGTGGAACTCTTAAGGATCTTGAGTTCCACAGAATTTTATGAAGCTTCCAAGTGGCTACACGAAGAGGTTGTAAGGACCATGCAGATATCTTTGACAATTTTAATAAGACGATTTGGAAATTTGTGAAGCTCTCAACAGATGTCTTGGAGTGCTTGGAGGCCACTTTTCTCCATATAACCATGTGACGAAAAAATAGGTAAGAAAACAAGTAAAAGTAAAATGTTACAAATAGGAGAAAGGAGTTTTCAAAAACTAATAAAAAGACTAGAAATACTAAAGTTAATGTGTGGCATCATGTAAAAGATGAGAGAATAAGATTGATAAGAATAAGAGGATGAAAGAAATGCCTAACTTGGGCTATGACAAGGGGGGAAATGCAGTGTGAGTGCTGGACCATAAGGAACGCTGAGCGAAGGAAGATAGATGCTTTTGAACTGTGGTGTTGGAGGAAAATTCTGAGAGTGCCTTGGACCGCAAGATCCAACCAGTCCATACTTCAGGAAATAAAGCCCAACTGCTCATTGGAGGGAAGGATATTAGAGGCAAGGATGAAGTACTTTGGCCACATAATGAGAAAACAGAAAAGCTTAGAGAAGACAWTGATGCTGGGGAAAATGGAAGGAACAAAAGAAGAGGGGCCGACCAAAGGCAAGATGGATGGATGAATGGTATCCTTGAAGTGACTGGCTTGACTCTGAAGGAGTTGGGGGTAGTGATGGCTGTCAGGGAACTCTGGCATGGGCTGGTCCATAAGGTAATGAAGAGTCGGAAGCGACTGAACAAATGAACAACAACAAAAATCAGATCTGAATGTTAAAGCAGTCTTTTTTGTCATGTGGTCTGTGCATAGCCTCAATGGTGACATAGATTGATATCTTTTTTGCCATGTACTAAGAATTAAGTTGACCTGGATGTTGTAGAGAAACAAGGATTTTGAACTCGTAAAAAGACTGTTTTCCATAGATATGGCAGTTGCTCTTGAAAATACACCAGCTGTTCACTGCAAGAGACAGAAGTCAAAATTATCTGTCAGCAATCTTTTTCTTTTGATGAGCTAACATTTCTCCAGTACTCCTAATTCTGTTCTGGAATATAATCTATTATATCATTTGATTCTTCCTCTATACATTTTTCTGAGTGTATGTGAAAAGTAACACAACACTGCTAATGAAAAAAAGTCAGAAATTATTACAAAAATATTTGATCATCATTACCCAGAAGCATCTTTGGCACAAGAGGATATATAAATTTCTATATGTTGTTCCATATCCTGTGCCCTGAAACAAACAGAATTTCTCATTCATCAGATATGTTCAGTTCTTCTTCATGGTTTTGGTGCCCTCAGAGTTTGTCTTTGCACAACATTTCTATTCTGGAAAATCAGTGGAGCAGAAACGTGTGGATATAGATCTGTCTTTCAATCCATTCAATAAAGTGAGACACGTTGCTATAAACTCCAGGTCCCAAAAGTTTGGAAAAACAGACGGAGCCCCAAGAAGTTAAACCAAACAATGTCCAGCGTCCAGCAGACTGTTCACACACAAGAGGTCCCCCGCTGTCACCCTGCAAGGAAATAGATATTATTCTACAGTCTTAGGCAAGTCCTAAAAAGTAAAAGTTGGGTGAATTAATCTAGAACAGGAGTTGGAATGCAGGCTGCATGAAATACTCCAAAATCAGCCAAAAGTAATTGTTGCTGCTCAAAACCACTTAAAACATCTGCTCAAAATTCCCAAATGGCAAACACCTCCTCAAAAAAATCCCAGACATCAACTAAATGTGACATTATGCCACTTCCACCTAAAACGAAGGCAACTAAAGGTGATGCCATCTCTACAACTGTGTCCTGTGGCACACTAAAGGAAGACAAAATTGCCTGGCATGACTCTTTATGAAACACATGTAATGATGGGCACTAAATGGGTCTTATGAGCTGGAAGAAATCTGCTGCTGATCTATCCACGCTTAGTCACCCAAAATCACTGAATATGAATGTGAGAACTACCACTCCTCTTGGCACCCCCCCCCCTCCCCCCAGCAACAGCAAGGTTATCGCTCTTGGCAGCTAGACCAGGAAATCCCAACCGGATGCCCCCCACCACCTGCGACGGTCTTCCTCCAGGGGCAAACCAAGAATGGGCAACTTGGAAGTCCCTGAACAGACTCAGAAGTGGAGTGGGCAGATCAAAATGGCACTACCTAAAAGAATCCCACATCTTGTGTGACTGTGGAGCAGAACAGACAACTCCGCATCTGTATGCTTGTTCACTATGCCCTGCCTCATGTACAGAGGAAGAATTGTTGGAAGCTGCAGACAATGCCATTGCTGTTGCCCATTTTTGGTCAAAAGATATTTTGCCACCTGCGCTCCTTCTATTTTTATCGGTTTTATACCAATTTATGCAATGCTTTTGGTACAAAATAATAATAATTGAATATGTTTAGCTTCTGTTAGCTATGGACTTTTCCTACAAACCAATGCTGCCATACCTGCATCCCTTTCATGTGGTGTGGGTTACATGCAGCTGTTTTGGTCTGCATAGGAATGATTGGCACATAATGGCTGTGATTTTATAACTACCGCATTGTGCTTTTGCATGTAGGTTTTAAATACACACACGTTTCTTTTTTAAAGCTTGGCTTACCATGCAAGAATCCACAGTGCCAGATTCATAACCGGCACATAGCATCCTGCCAGTGATGGTCTTCATGTCAAAATACGACTGACAATGTTCTAAGGAAATAATACGAACTTCTCCTTCCTGAAGTTTGAAAGGCACTAAACAAGAAGAAAGACACATCTTCTGTTAAAGTATACAAATGCCTAAGCACTGATCATTATAGCAATTCCTTTGTGCAAAGTGAAGTGATGGTTACTTCTTTCAAAATTTGTATAAAAGTCAACATCTAAAAATGTTCTTGCTTAATCAACATTCCAATCTGTTGGGTGGTTTCAGATAACACAAGAAGTTGGGGAAGCAAGGGAGCTCTGTGCCAAGATTACTGCAGGAGAAAACTGGGGCTCATTGGCCACATGTGAATTGGAGAGTCCTTCAAGTCCTTCAAGTGTCCTTCAGCTTCACTCCATTTTTTTTAAAAGACTTACAGTTGTACCTAAACTTTATCATACTGCCTACATGCAGGCATAGCTGCGACTCTACTTTGTCACCACTCCACACCACCACGATCACAAGCTAGATAAAGAATTCAGGCTTTATGATTTTTATTCTTTGTCTAGTTAGTTGGTGGAGTAACAAATTTGGAGCAATCACACCCACATTCAGACAACATGCTAAACAATTTATGAAATGAAGTCATTCCCACCACAACGGGGATGATACACTATCAGCCGATAAACCAAAGTTTCCATGTTTTCCTGGCTTGTTATACTGCACATCTGTAATCAATACTGGAATTACCCAAATATTATGTATGTTATCCTGTAGCTTCCCATTATTTATTATTATAAACTAGATGTATAACTTAGAACCAACATAGTGTAATGGTCTGATTGGCAGACTAGTAGCCTGGAAGTCTTGGGTTTGAATTTCAGCTCAGTTGTGGAAGTCCAGCAGACATTATTCACTGAGCATCCAGGGTTGCCACTTATTCCTTTAATGGATGGCCTCAATCAAAGAGGAGAGCAAAGGCAAAAGTCTTCTGACCATATTTAGTTGAGACAACCCTACTTAGGATCCCCATAAGCACTAAGTAACAATAACAACAACATATAATTACTATGAAATGGAAATGACAGAAACCATGGGGTAATATACATAAGCCTATCTTGAAGCAATTGTGCTTGAAACATCCATGACAATTACTTGTTCAGCTTCTTTCTAAAATTTATATATATATTATCTGAGCAATGACATAAATACTTGATGGGAGAAGATAGAGTACACAAAGAATACTTTTTCCTCCTCCCAGAAACCAAATTACAGTTTTGTTTACAAAACAGAGCTAGTATTAGGTAATGGGAATTGTTGTGGCTAAATCACAAGGAAAATCTAGCTGGGGCTATGGATTCTCTCCAAAGCACATTTCCTTTCTTTGAGTTCCAAATCAGATTCAGTTCTGAATATGAACTGATGTGAAAAATGTGAACAAGCTGAGAACTTTGGCTGGCAATATTCTATATGTTTTGATGATATTTCAAAAGACCATTTTTTAAAGAAAGTGTTCGCGGATTTATGCTAAAGCTAGAAAACAGAACCAAGCTGACAAAAATAACTGTATTTGTAGGAGAATTTAGAAAACATTTGTCTCACTTTTGTTGCCCATGTGTCCCCATCCAGTGATGTAGCAATAGGTATCTGGCTGAACTCGCTGGCCCCTCCTGGGTAGGCAAACTGGCCGCACATAGCTTGTCTCATTGATGTCTTCATTCAGTTCCACAATGCTTATATCATAGTCCACTACTGCACGGTTATACCGAGGGTGCAGGATAACATTCTTCACTGTGAGGGTCTGCATAAAGACTGAAGGGTGATCCAAATTGTTGATGCCAAACACTACTTTCCAGGCTGCAGGGTTTTCCCTTCTTGGTTCCAGGAAAGAAATAAGATACATGATATTAATTTAAGTTAGATACAAATAGCCACCCTTGCCTCTTCATCATAAAAGTATAGGATACATGAACAGAAAGATAAAAACGTAAGTTTGTCAAAATACAAAAGCAAGGCATGTTCAGATTGTATTATATGGCAGCATAGATCCAACAGAGAAAGATATAGGTTACCACTTTGAAATCTTGTTTGTTTGTTTGTTGGTTTATTTATTTATTCTCTCTCTCTCTCTCTCTCTCTCTATATATATATATATATATATATATATATATATATCTCCTGCCTTTCTCTACCCTAAGAGGGATTCAAGATGGCTTACAGATAGGCAACAATTCAATGTCTTAACAACAATGTACAATTAAAATACACATTTAAATTAAATTAAGATCAAAATTGAAATACATTAAAACATTTTAAAAACATACAGTAACAGTCACTATAAAACCACGCTATCCGCAAACACAATCCATATGTGACCCATAAATCATTATCAGCACTACTCACCCTTCAAAGCAGTGTGCCACTGTTAAGACCCATTTCTTTGCAATGAGAACGCAACCACATATATGCCCACTTGGCTCACTCTGCAGAGAGCATTGCCACGGCCACAGTCCTGGGCGACTGGTTCTGCCACCAAGGATTCTCTTGTTCATACGAGCTGCAGGGCGACGTCCACAATCTATTAAGAAACATGTCAAAAAGATAGATAGATAGATAGATAGATGATAGATAGATAGATAGATGGATGGATGGACGGACGGACGGACGGACGGACGGACAGATAGATTCAATGTTTCTTCAAAGGTACTAGTCCCAAAATATGGAAAAGAGTTGGATGGAAAAGAGTTGCAGAAAATGAGATACTGAGCTAAATTTACGAAGCCAAACTTAAGATCACTGTTGGGCTTGATAAAAAAAAAATTGCTCCAGCAGGACACAATGGCATTGTGGTGCTTTTTCTGGACCCTACAGCTCCAGGATGATGAGTCAACCTATGCTGTAATCATTTTCAAACAAACTACCCTATCCATCTCACTGCCCAAGGCAAAAGGGCCATCTTGGAAAATTCCCTCCTAACCTAGCAATTTGAAAGCATGCAATGTGTGTAGATCAATAAGTACTGCCTCTGCAAGAAGGTAAAAGGGCATCCCATGCAGACATGCTGGCAAAACGATTGGAGATGACTACGGACAGCAAGCTTCTTTGGCATGGAAAATGGAACAAATGCACTGCCCCATGGCCAGAGGTGAGCATAGCCTCCAGACGCCAGAGATGGCGCAAAGGGGAAGACCTTTACCTTATCTGTGTATTGTATGTCATTGTTTGTCATGTAAAGGCACTGAATGTTTGCTTTATATGTGTACTATAATCCACTCTGAGTCGCTCCAGGGAGATAAAACAGTATATAAATAAAGTGTATTATTATTATTATTATTATTATTATTATTATTATTATTATTATTAATATTATTATTATTATTAAATACTGGCATGAATTCAGCATTCCAAATGCTATGGTATCCTTGTGTCCATGGGGATTCATCTGTTTTCAGAATTACAAAAGATAAAAACATCCTTAAGAAATAAACTTCAAAACAACAAATGGACTACAGGGATGCTCAATGGACATGGAATACTGACTGATTAAGGAGAAGGAATGGAAAACTGAGAGGGGAGTGGAATGAATTAATGTGTCCTGAAAGGCAATATGGCTGAATGAACAAGAGAACTTCATAATGCTACCAATAGAGCCAACCACTTATCAGTGGCTATTAGTCACAATGCTTAGATGAAACTGACATGCCTGCAGAAGTATGAATCCAAAAGTTGTGAAAAAAGAAAATCAAGAAAGGACAACTGCCTCACATTATCCCTATGGATTTCTGGATCCGTCTATTTTCCATTGTGTGCAAGACAATGCTACTCCAAATCTTTGATCGGAATTAGCAAGTTTCCTTTTATGTCATTACAGTGCATTCCCCAGGCCATTGAGTGAGCACAGACATTTTTAGAAAGGAGTGGGGCTCATTGGTATTTTGAAATCTGCCTAATTTCTGCCTTCATTGTTATATGAGTTATGAATCTTACCTTCTCTGGTGCAGAGAAGTGAAACCATACTCTTGCTTCTGCATGGCAATCTAGATGTAGAAATAACATGTTGGACAATAATTTCAACAGCATACCTATTTCTTTTGCTTAATGTGTATTATTTAACTGTCAGATAATCTTAATGACCCATTAGTGGTTTTGTCAGATGATTAAAAATACAGTACACTTGAAAATCTTGCCTCTTGATTTTTAAAGCCAATATATTTTTGCAAGCATCTATCTATCCAAAGCATAGCTGAAGATACTGAAGTCCGTTTAAACATCTTTGGTTTTGTTAGAACTAATTCAGTGTTAAAGGTAATGAGAAGTATTATATTTTCATATAATAAAGATATACACAAATTCAAAATACTAATACCTTAATATCTCCAAGTTTCTGCTTTGAAGAATTTTCCATATTGTAGTTTTTTAAGAAACATCATTTCAACTGTATCCAGTACTTGAAACAGGTTGTGCTATAATGGCATTTTTGGATCATGTTTATATAGCATCATCACCCATATTTCTATTTAAGTTTCTAGCACCAAATTTTAAATCATTGTAAGTTGTGGTACTATTACTTACCTATACCTATACCCACACACACACACACACACACACACTGTGATTTAGTGAGAGGGAGCACTGCAATAATATACAATGACAATAAAGTTATTCTATACATACTACTCCAAGCAAGAGGATATATGTATGAAGACTGCTTTCACAAGCCAATTTCCCATGTTACATGGATACTATTGGATACAAATTAATCTCCATATACTATAGAAGCATAAATTGCTAGCTGTTTTCCTTACCCAGTCACCAAATGGGCATGTAATGTGGACATGTTTTTGCTTTCCCAGTCAGAATGCAAATTCAGCCATTTCTCATGATGGGGCTGCTCATACTCTGAGACAATTTCTGTTACAGGTGGTCCTCTGAAATAAAGACATCCAGATTATCTTAGGGTGTGCATATATCTTAACATTATATCAACATTTATTTATGTGGGGTTTTTTTTCAAAATCTGAAAAAAATGAAAATATGATATTTCCTAGTGAGTTCAAAATACTGCATATATTCATCTACAAGTCAATCTCATATATAAGTCAATGGCAGGTTGATTTTATTATGACTCATGGATAGGTCAAGAGTCATTCCTTCTTTCTTTTTATTACCTAGTTTAGAAATGGTTCCCAGTCCTTGATCAAGTTTTTTGTGTTTTTTTCTTTGTTCATCATTGCTAATTTGTCCATTTCTGTTTTTTAAAAGATTTTAACTATCCATTCATCTATTGTTAGGAGGTATGGCTTCTTCCAGAACTGTGCTTATACTGTTCTTGCTGCTATTATCATGTTATGGAATACTTTATAGTTTAATTATTTTGTTTAGTTCTTTGACATTCCCAATAAAAATAATTTGGATTCCAATTGTATCTTTGAAAAATTATTGCAGTATTTTTTGTATCTTGTCCCATAATTATCTTGCTTTTTCACAGGTCCACCACATGTGGAAGAAAGTTCCTTCCTTTTCTTTACATTTCCAGCACTTGTTGTTTCTTCCTGTATACATTTTAGATAGCTTGCTTTGTTTATAAGCCATCCTTCAGCCTTAAAAGAAGGGGCCCCTATGTGATACTTATATTTTAAAATAACAAATAAAATAGAAATCACAAAATAAAAAGCAAATGTACAAGAAATGTAAACACACATAGACATAAAACTAGAACACAAATTTAAAATGCCTGGATAGAAAGAAATATTGTAATCTGAAAAGAAAGGTCAGTGCCAATCATGAGAGGCTTGAGTTACCAATTCATGATATAGTAACTCATGGAGTATCCTAAGAGTTATACACTTCTTTGAAGGCAGAACTAACCGGAAGGCAGAACTAACCGGAATATTTAGAGGTGATATGTAACATGAGAAAAAATGGGACAGAAAACTTAGTCACTAAGCCCAAACTGAGAGACTCTTAAAGGGATAGATGTCTTATGATCAGTGTGTCTTCACATCAGCATATGGTCAATTTGCAAACCAAAATTGCTGTCTTTAGGACAGTGATACTCATCCTGTAAGTCCCCAGGTGTTTTGGCCTACAACTCCCAGAAATCCCAGCCAGTTTACCAGCTGTTAGGATTTCTGGGAGTTGAAGGCCAAAACATCTAGGGACCCACAAGTTGAGAACCACTGCTCTAGACGACTCTAGAACAGACGGGCAGATGTGAAATTGAAAATGCTTTTGAACATTGTACATTGCACTTCCTAAGTACGGTACAAGGATTTTCCTGTGGCCTCCAGATGAGATAAGTACTTTGTAAGACAATTCTTAAATGACCAATTGAATTACATCCTAGCTCTACAGGGATTTTTCCAAACGTTGGAAGAGATAATATTTTATTGTACAATTACTGAGAAAATCCAATAAACAGAATGAATTTTCTCAGATGACCTAGAGTAGCTCATTTTACATTGCATCTGTCTAATATATTAACATTAATGACCACATTCCGTATTTAATCCCTCCATGGGTTTTTTCCCTGGTCATTCCTTCTTTATACATTATGTATCCATTAGCCCAATTCCCACTGCCTTTATAACAAGATATTATCAGAAGTAGTCATAGAGTGCAAAGTTTTATTTTACTTAAGGTAAAATAAAAGAGAGAGGTATTCAGACAGAAGACTATCTCAGACTGTATTTCAATCAAGTCTGTTTTTCAAAAGGACTTGGAAGAAAATAATCAGATCTGGCACATCTGCAAGTCTAGGTTCTGACTTTCTTTGACTTTGGTTAACTAAACGTTTCCTCTTGTATTCAAAGTTCTCTGTTACAAGGCTATTCATGCAAACACTTAAATCCTAATGTTATTCATGTGTGCTGGTGGTTCAGTGGATACTAACATTTCATTGAAGTATTCAGTCACTCAACCCAGTTCACTCACCAATTAAAAAGGCAATGAGATTGAATCAAAATATGTCCTTCCTAATCTTTTATATGGTCCTTACCCAACTTAAATTTGCAACAGAGAACAAACAAACAAACAAACAAAAACATAATGATAAAGAACTTTCATCTCAGTACATTTTTAAAAAACTTCTGTCTACTTTGCTATTGACCTCTGCCAGTCATTCTCCTCACTTTGGATTAGGAAAGACCTCTTTGTGCCACTTCTGTTTCTAACTGTACATGCAACTGTACAACTATAACTGTAAAATGCAAATGTTACAAACGCATGTGTTTTTAATATATTCATTAAATAAATCTTGCACATTAGAGAATGTGCCTGACTATAGCTTTCTGTTTACTGCACTCTTAGCTAACCTAGAAATAGTACATTATTATTATTATTATTATTATTATTATTATTATTATTATAATATACTCGAGTATAAGCCTAGTTTTTCAGCCCCTTTTTTAGGCTGAAAAAGCTCCCCTCGGCTTATAATCGAGTCAAGGTTATTTATTATTTTACTCTGTTATTAGTATTATTTTTATTTCATGTATTATTTTACATGATATATTATCATTATTATTACATTTATTATTTTACTTTATTATTATTGAATTTATTATTCTACTCTATTATTACTGTTATTATTGCATTTCCATTATTTTACTTTATTATTATTATATTTATTATTTTACTCTATTATTGTTGGAAGGATACGGAAATACATTTACATTGAAGATATGTAATGATTTAATCAGAGTTTGGCAGTCTTATCTCAAATTACAGTTTTATGTAAATATTAAAAAACATTTCACCTCCTGATGCCTCAATTAATGTAATTTTATTGGTATCTTTTTATTTTGAAATTTATCTGTAGTGGCTGCATTTCCCACCCTCGGCTTATACTCGAGTCAATATGTTTTCCCAGTTTTTTGTGGTAAAATTAGGTGCCTCAGCTGTTATTCGGGTCGGCTTATACTCGAGTATATATGGTATTATTATGCTTAGCACTCAGAGAAAGTTGTGCAAAAGCTTTCCAGTTTACTTGGCGCCATTTCTTTTTTCTAGGAAGAGTTTGACTGCAAATAACTTTTTGCAGGGAGGAAAATGAAATATTTGGATTTAAGCTTATGTAGTCCAGTAATCACTGGTGCTTTCCATGTCAGAATATTGGTGAAGCCTTTTAAGATGCTAATCTTTTTAAAACATATTTTATTGAGTTTTTTGTGAGTAAAAGAAAAAAGAAAAAAAGAAAAAATAGCAAAAAAGAAAGAAAAAGCAGAAAAGGTGAGAGAAGGAAAAAAGTGGAAAAATTAAGCATCTGTACTTCCAATCTTCTTCTTTGCTTGTTGTGTCATTCTCTCCCAAAGTCAAAAATAAATTAAGAAGTTAATCTTATCTATAAAGGAGATATCCACAGATCTGAAGTCATTTGAAGGATGACTTCAGATCAGCAACTTGTTCAAAGTTCTCACCAAAATCTAAAATGGAGTCATTACCCACCCCAAGATGTAAAATACTAGAAGCTACTGCAATCGCCTCCTTGGAATGCATACTTGGAATAACACCCAGTGTGTTCAGGTTGGTTTGGTCCTAGATAAGGGTGATAGAATCGCATCTGGTCTGAAAATCAAACCTTATTGCACATATACAAAATATGCCTACCCTTTGGAAACAGTCCTCAACATGAGAAGAAAGTATATTCCCTCAGGTTTCTAACTGAAATTTAGAGGACTTATTTTGTATGCTTATAAATGAAGTGTATATGAACAGGTTGCTTATATAACTATGAGAGGGCCTTCACCTGTTTTGCTACTACATTGTGAAATATAGTCTGTTTCCATTGTGGATATTAACATTTATTTCTGTTTCCTTGTTCTCCAGATCCTTCCTATGCTTAGTTCACGTCATATTTCATATTATATTTTCTGCATTGAAATTCATGCACAATTTTAATTTATTTTAATATGTATCTATATTTACACATTTGGCACAGTTCTGCCCATTGATATGAAGTATGTGTGCATTTTGTTTATTAACTTATAAAAACACGTGCATTGTTTCGTGAGTATCATGTTTGATTGAAATGTATTATAAGCTTCACAGATGTTCAGATCTTGAAGGAATCAATGATTCTTTTTGCAAGAAATCTTGCATAACTGCTTTCATCTTGACTGTCAGATCCAAATTCTCTTCCATCTCTAGTTCCTGTCATCACTTTAAATAAATATTTTCAATCTATGTTTTTTTCTATGTTACATTGTTGTATTGATATGGTTTTAACTGAGTTTACTAAGTTTAAATTGTTTATTGTATCTGTTAGCAGTTTTGATTGATACTTTTATACTGAACGGGAAAAATAAATAATATAATAAAATGTCATAACATACTCTAAACCCACAATCTAAAACTTTTGCACCAAAGGAAAAAATGCATATATTATGTGATCACTCAAACAATATGTACTATTGGAACATCATTCTTTCATATACTGCCAGACGAAATATCTTTCCTTTGTGGATATGTGTATGGACGAGCACCAAAAACGTCTTACCTAGTTTGACAGTAGTACACTTAATCCATATATTAAAGCTTCCACATAATACCTTTGTCTAGAAAGAAAACATTTTCTGTTGGGGGAAAACAGCTTCAATATGCCTTATGCCATGACAGACTATAGTTAAAACAGCAACAACAAAATATTATTTTAGGAATTCAGAAGGAACTGCCCAGTTTTTTACACAATAATAAAAACAGATCTTTTATGTCTATCCAGCTGCTTTGGGGGTCAGATTTACAAGATGCATACCATAACACACCATAACACACCATAACATTAAACATATGGATAAATGTAATGATAAGGGAAAAAAACATATTGATGCTGAATGTAAATAATTAATCTTTTTTCTTTTTCAGTCTCCACTGAGTATCAAAGTTGCCTCTGTGAAAGTGCCTTTGACTTCCATCCCCAATTATTTAAAAGTGGCTTGTTCCAAACAGACAACTATAGATTTAGTTTATTGTATACTGAATGAAATATGCAGCTATCTTTAATATCATAAATGTGTAATAGAGAAATTAGCTTTGAAATGTGATCTCTGGAAACCATTGTACAAGTTCATAGTAGAGTAGCTTCATGGTGCTAGAGAACTACTTACATTTCTCAAGCATTTTAAAAAAGAAATATTCAAGCCTGGACATTATTCGCACAAATGTTCTTGCATCACTATCTATATATATAAATCTGTTAGGTTGGTTCAACCGGACAGCAAAACTCCACAACCCCCCAACGAAACTTAACCAAAATTCCCATGCCCATAACACAACCCACAAGGTACAAACATATCTACTCAAAATGAAAAACAACACAACAACACACTCACAAAACGGCAAAATAACAAAACTCAAAAAAACCCAACGAAACTTAACCAAAATTCCCATGCTCATAACACAACCCACAAGGTACAAACATATCTACTCAAAATGAAAAACAACACAACAACACACTCACAAAACGGCAAAACAACAAAACTCACAAACCCCCCAACGAAACTTAACCAAAATTCCCATGCCCATAACACAACCCACAAGGTACAAACATATCTACTCAAAATGAAAAACAACACAACAACACACTCACAAAACGGCAAAACAACTGAGCATGCGCATTGGTGCCCAGCCGCAAGTTCCCTGGCGCGTGCACACAGCCTTCCGGCCAACGTTCCCTCTGCAGAAGCCATGCCCACTCCAAGCCCCTCCGCGCCGCTTCCCGCACACACACACACCCTGCCGCACGCACACACACAACCCCGCTCCATCACTCCCCCCGCCACCGCACACACACACGCAACCCCACGCTCCATCACTCCCCCCGCCACCGCACACACACACGCAACCCCATGCTCCATCACTCCCCCGCCGCCGCACACACACGCAACCCCACGCTCCATCACTCCCCCCTGCCGCACACACACACGCAACCCCACTCCCCCGCCGCCGCACACACACACGCAACCCCACCCCCCATCCCCCCCCCCGCCGCCCACACACACACGCAACCCCACGCTCCATCACTCCCCCCGCCGCGCACACACACACACACGCAACCCGCTCCATCACTCCCCCCCGCCGCCGCCGCACACACACGCAACCCCACTCCCCCCACCGCCGCACACACACACGCAACCCCATGCTCCATCACTCCCCCCATCGCACACACACACACGCAACCCCCTGCTCCATCACCCCCCGCCACCGCACAAACACACGGAACCCCACTCCCCCCGCCGCCGCACACACACACGCAACCCCACTCCATCACTCCCCGCCGCCGCACACCCCCACGCAACCCCACGCTCCCACCCCCGCCGCCGCACACACACACGCAACCACGCTCCATCACTCCCCCGCCGCACACACACGCACCCACTACCCCCGCCGCTGCACACACACACACAACCCCATGCTCCATCACTCCCCCTGCCGCGCACACACACACGCACCCACGCTCCATCACCCCCCCCGCCGCACACACACACGCAACCCACTCCCCCCGCCGCCGCACACACACACGCAACCCCAGGCTCCATCATTCCCCCCGCCGCTGCACACACATAATAGTCCAGATATCTACCTCAACTTTGATAAGTTTTACTATAGGCCACAGCAACGCGTGGCAGGGCACAGCTAGTATTATATAAAATTCAAACAGGCTTTATTATCTTTATTAGACATTCAGAGGATCAGTTGGACCCTTAATCCACACTAGATAAAAAAAACAGCAAAAGCTGCCACAGACATACCATTCTTGCTAGATCAGCTGGACAAGTACTGAAGTTAAGGGGTGGAAATAAGCTATTTACGATACACAAGCTACTTTGATCATGATTATATCATCAATAGAGTTAGTTTCCCATGGTTTCTTTTAATCTAGTGAACAAAATGATCCACACACAGTAGTAAACATTAGAATTTCCCTTGTGCTCAATGGGCAGAGATAGCAACCAACACCAATGTCACTTCTAGCCAAACACCTAGTCAGTCACACTCAGAAAATTTATCAGTACTACAAACTACTGACCTTACCCTAAACCCATTTGTTTGCATGCCAAATGGCTTAAATTTTCTTCCCATCCATCAGCGCATACGTGGTAATTGGTGGCTGACCTTTGAACAGTTAGGAACATCAAGGAGCTCGTGTTTTTAGACAGGGTTACTGTGAAGACAAAAGAGGATGTAACTTTACCATGCCAATGGGAGATTATGGGCAAGCAAACAAGTGGAATCATATCATTTCATTCCTCATCACTTAGGGTGCTTCCGGACAGCGCCAAAACCTGCTTTGGTGTGGATTCCCATCCCCCTCTCCCAAAAAAAAACCCTGGGCTTTCCCGTGGAGGGCAGCAACATGCTTGTAACTACTGAGATGACATGCATCCACCCCAAAGCCCCCCAAAACAACTCTTAAAACTTTAAAAAAAACATACCTAGCAACTATTAAGGTGCTCCTTACATCCTCCTGGCACAAAAATATGGCGTGCCAGGAAACGGGGAGGTCGTGAGAAGCAATTTTCCTCCTCCAGGAGCCCAAAAGATCCAGGATGGCAAATGGGGACTCACCCCTGGGTAGTTGTGGGTAGTTGTGGCAGTGTAGACTCAGATAATCCAGTTCAAAGCAGATAATGTAGATTATCTGCCTTGATATTCTAGATCATGAGGCAGTGTAGAAAGGCCCACATTATTTACCTAGCTGCCATTACCTACCTAGATACCATTACCCTTCTGCTGGCCGCCTCCTGGTGCATAGAAATGGTGCACCAGGGGAAGGTCGAAGGGGGGGGGGGGAGAGCAATTTTCCTCCTGGCCCCTTTTCCTGGTACATCATTTCTATGCTCCTAGAGAGGGCCAGACTGGGTTTCCTTGCAGATTTTCATAATGATGGAAAAGTAAACTGTTCCACACAATTATGAAATAGTTCATTGCAATCAGAAAAATATTCTAGAACGTGACAAATTTTAGGCATCACTTCAATTTAATAAAAAGCCATTCCAAGAACAGATTATTCTATGAAATAATCACACTAGGGCCAGTTCCACAAAGAGAAAATGTCCAGTCCGACCTAGGTTTAAAAATGACTCAGAATGGACTTCTATCCCCACATTGGCAGAAAACGCCACACTTTCATTGGGGGGGGGGTGTATGTCCAGATGCCCTTCTGGCAGGGCACACGGACAGCAACAAAAAAAAACAGAAAAGCCTTAAGAACTAAACATTATTTACCCGACTGCTATTACTCTGATAATGGCCCTCTCTAGGAGCATAGAAATGATGTGCCAGGAGAAGGGGACAGGAGGAAAATTGCTCTCCCCCCCCCCCCACCTTCCCCTGGTGCACCATTTTTATGCACCAGGAGGCGGCTAGCAGAAGGGTAATGGTATCTAGGTAGATAATGGCAGCTAGGTAAATAATTTTTAGTTCTTAAGGCTTTCCTGGGGGGGGGGGGGMTGAAGGAGGGGGTTATAGTCCTCTGGATTTTCCAGGTTCATGGAGCCCAGAAAACAAAGTCTGAGAACTTCTGAGGGGTCAGTCCAGACAGTGGTCATTCCGGATTAGACCCAGGTCTTTCAYGAAGGTCCAGATCTAATCCAATACCTAATTAATTAGGCAGAAAGCAGGGTTTTCTGCTTTTTGCTGAATTAATTCGCTTTTACCCAAGGCATCATTTGGATGCCCCAAGTAAAAACGCAGGAGCTTGTGCTTTTTGCAAACTGTCTGGATGTGCCCTGGGTTTTTTTCCCCACAGTGAACTGTATCCTCATGGTTGTGCTGGTGAGAGACCGTAATAAAGTTTTGTATTGGATCCTCATGGTTGTGGAGCATGTAAAGAATCAGGCCTGGAAAAAAAATCTCTACACTTGGAAATTATTACGCCTGAATATTATATTGCTTGTCTCCAAAAATGCACATAGACAGAAGGGTGAAATCTGATGGTATTACACAGATTAGAAGAAAAATGTTCATCAAAAGATTCTTCCCTATTCACGTCTGTTATTCATTGGAAATGTCAGTCTATGTTATCATCCCACTGTAGTATTAGAAAAGCTTGTTTGCTCTTCTCTGCAAATTTCCAGAAACAACTATTTATTGACAAGGTGTTTTCCACCTCTGAAAGCTCCACATTACGAATTCTAGGAAGAAATGTAGATGTCAACACTTACCGCAGTCCCATTCATCTGATTTATCAACACAATGTATCTGCCCATCACACCAAGCTTGACGAGGCACACAATCATGGTTGGCACATGTAATCTCATCCTTTTTGCAAAAGGCTGCCATAAAATGCAAATTAAAACAAAATATTTAAACATGGAAAAAACAATGTTTTAAAGAACACTTTTAAAGAACAATATAACATATACATTATTTGGAAATTGAATAGTGGCTGCTCAAGGAGAGTATGATTATTACTATTGAGCTTCCTTGTGTGTTTACCTCTTGAATTTTTCATAGGTTTTTCTCAGACAAGGAATCTTCAGAGGTGGTTTTGCCAGTTCCTTCCTCTGAAATATAGCCTGCCATGCCTGCTAATAATGCTATCTGTATTCTGATAACTGTGGGGGTGCCTGCCATCCTTGCTGAATGAATGTTTCAGGCACTGTTTTCCACTGGTTTAGTTATATTTAACTCAGTTTTTAAAAAAAATCAGAAAGAAAAGCTCTATTTACTAAATTAATGGATAATATTCAGTTGAATTCATAAGGGAAAGAAGGACAGCAGGTTGCATACCTGTAACTGTAGCTCTTCATTTTGTCGTCTATGAACTCACACAAATCGGTTATTCTGAGCTTGTGTAGTACATAATTTGGAATCTTAAATGAGTTATATAATCTTTTGGGCAGTAGCCCTACCTATCTTAAGGTACCAAATATAAGGGGCATTCCACTTAAACAAAAGTCCCAAAGATACCAGTGTATCAATCCAAGGACAAGCAGGATGTGACGATTTGTATGACAAGCAGGACGTGATGGTTTGTACGAGTTCACAGATAACCATTCAAACAACTACAGTGACATGGTCTCTGTGACTCAGAAAAATGGGAGACTAGCAAGCTACACAAAAAGGAAATGGAAGCATCATTGTAAACAAGTTTACTGAAAACAAATCAGTGCAGCAGTGCTATATAACCAATCATCTATGGTCAACCATAATAATACACATTACATTACACCAGAGAACTGCAGATACAGTTACTGTTTTTCTTTTTTGGCTCGTGGGAATGTCCTGTAAGTTTTCAGGCTTCCTTGATCCAACTGGGTTGTGCAGAGGGGATAGTGAAATTGTTCTGTCACGTGCTGGGCCTGTAAAAGCTGTACTTTTCTATAGGACGTGCAACTTGAGCCCAGCGGGAAGCCAGGGGCCCCCAAAGAGAAGTTCTCAGAGATTTTCCACCACCACAAATGGTCTTTAGATGGCTTGTGAAGTATAACAAAGTCCTTTATTAATGAACAATCAAACAGAAACTTCTCTTGTTTTCAATAAAGTTAAACAAATGCTTCCAGGCTTTTATGCAACTGGTGGCTTCCTAATTTTGTCCACGAAGGACATGCAATTGTCTTCAATAACTAATTCTTTGCTTTAAAGGAAAATCCCTTTTTAACTTCTCCCAGGCTGACTGTAATCTAAGTCTTACTGATGTGGGATCCGCTACTGGGTCGAACTGTGTCTCAAGCACCGAGTGGACCTACCAGTAAGGCCAGTAGATTCTCCAACTGGAGTTCTTTGGTCTTCCAAACTGTTTACCCTCTGTAATTTTTCAAAGCTTTAGGGCTGTTTCCCTGGAAATCTTTGGAGATCTTTGGATGCTCTTAAGACTGTTCTCCCCCGGAAAGTCTTAAGGATTGAAGCTTTTGTACAGGAGAAGCTTGTACACGTCCTCTAAATTAGCTTTCCTTACTGAGACTAACTAAAAAAAGGCTCCCTTCCCTTCCCAGTTGCCCTTAGCAAGGGGCGGAACCAAAACTTAACGATGATGGACAGGTGACTTGCCCTACGACTGCAACCAAAGGAAGCCACCTTTCTGCAGAATCCCTGAAACCTTGGACTGCAAGCAAACATTTAATACAAAGCAAATAAAGTTGGAGCTCCTGGTACAGCTGTACCAGCACAGAAATGCTTAATATCATGCAGTTCTCTGAGCCATAAGCGGAAACCATTACCCAACATCAGTGCACCAAACAACAAGATTACATAGCCCAACCCAAAAAAAAAAACCTCAAAACTTTGGTGTCTTGGTTTTAAGGCTTGGGGTTATTTGAGGTGCTGATTCAGAAAATTGCATTTGATAGACTGCATCAGCTTTATTTTTTTAAAGATATAGTCATGATTATTCTTTATGGGTGAGCAGACGGTGACTGGTATGTGATATATGTTCTGATCTCAAACTCTATAGTTGATAGGGGGGAACTGGTGTCATTTTTTTTTGAATCAGCAGGTCAATTATACCCAGAAAGAGACCTAATATTTGAGGCACCAAAATGTATGTTGGCCAATGTTTAGATTTCATGCCAAGGCTTTGTGGAAGAACAACACACAGTACTTCTTAAGAGGGAAATTTATTAAAGCATCATGAAGAAAAAGGAAGTGGTAAAAAAGAAGGGCCTCGGTTCTTGCTTCTACTGTTCTTTCTTTATCTTTGTATCTGTCATCTCCTTCTCATCCAGTGGCAAAACCACCAACTCACTTTAGAGTGAGAAACTTGGCTATGCTGCTCTTCCTTTTTCTTTGCCTCTGGGTTGCCTCTGTTGTCTCCTCCTCCTCCAAAGGAAAAATCACCAATTCCCCACCATTCATTTCCTAACTTGTAAGGGGAAAATGTAGCTTCATCAAGAAGTCTTCATAGTGAAGCTAAGTTCCTCCCTCACAAATGAGGAAAATGTACAGCACAGAGGTGGCCCTTCTGAAGGAGAAAGAGATGACAGAAGCAAACTAGAAGCAAAGGAAAAGCAGTAGAGCCAAGAGCTGAGAAACTTCTTTTTTTCCTCTGAAAAGGACTGCAACTCATGACAACGTTGAGGGGAGGCAGGAAAATTGAAGCTAATCCGCTTTGCTGCTTGCTCTGATGGAAAGGTTGTTGTTGTTGTTTATTCAGTCAGTCGCTTCCGACTCTTTGTGACCAGCCCATGCCAGAGCTCCCTATTGGCAGTCACCACCCCAGCTCCTTCAAGGTCAAGCCAGTCACTTCAAGGATACTATCTATCCATCTTGCCCTTGGTCGGCCCATCTTCCTTTTTTCCTTCCTTTCCCCCATCATCATTGTCTTCTCTAAGCTTTCCTATCTTCTCATTATGTGGCCAAAGTACTTCATCTTTGCCTCTACTATCCTTCCCTCCAATGAGCAGTCGGGCTTTATTTCCTGCAGTATGGACTGGTTGGATCTTCTCGCAGTCCAAGGCACTCTCAGAACTTTCCTCCAACACCACAGTTCAAATCATCTATCTTCCTTCACTCAGCCTTCCCTATGATCCAGCTCTCACATCCGTAGGTTACTATGGGGAATACCATTGCTTTAACTATGTGGATCTTGGTTGCCAGTGTGATGTCTCTACATTATTTTATCGAGAAAGGTACACTCTTACAAACTCTTGCAATGATGGAAAGGTACCCTCTTGCAAACCCTGCAAGACATGCAAAAAACCTAACGGAGGCCCAAAGTGGTTTTGCCTATTTATTTCAGCCTCTTTCTACTGTCAAGTTGTGCAGACCTCATTTAGAACTGAAGAGAAGACAGATACCTTTGTCCCACTTAACAGAACTTTACAGTTCTTCTTCCTGTTCCAAGATCTGTTTAGGTTTAAAGTTACAAGAACACCATCCTGCATCCACTCTGGAAACTGTAAGTAATTTACTTGATCTGGCTCTCTTTGTTTCTCTCTTTCTGCCTCCAAAGAATCTTTGATGATTGATTACACCGGTAAATCCTCACCTAACAGAATCCAGAGTTGTTTCAGTCACTGATCTGTTCACCGGATGAAAAAGTGATCCAAGTGAACTGACAATAAGAAATAAGACCTTTTTTTTTAACTGAGAAGGCATGTTTCAAATGTGTCTGAACCATGAAGTAAACCAGGCTACTTCAGGGAGTTGACAGTTACAAACTACAATAATTGTGAATGGTTTCATAAAGTTCTCTAGCATCACAGCATGGATACTGAAATAATGTATCACATAGTTATTGCAATGTACACTGTTCTTTGAATCTTTCTCTCACTCAATTATGTTGCATAACCTGGGAACATCTAGTACTGGGCCTTTGCTTTCACAATATTGAGCCCTTCAGACTTCCAGTTTACATGCTACATCTATTTTCCATTTATGCCCTATTGTACTTTGTGCTACTTCAGCACCAAATGAGTAGAAAATAAAAAAATGCATTAAAGTCTTTTCATTCATCAGGGCTTTCTAGCCCAGGGATCAGAATTGTGCAGCAGCTTTCTCTGTGGCCCTGAGACCCTTGCATTAATAAAACAAAAGAGGTGAAGAATGGAGAAAAATAACTCCATTCCTTTGGGGGCATGATTCTCCAAATATATATTTTTTGTAATTTTGCATGCCCATATAAAATTGCCCCAAATAGCAATTTTCAAAAATGGAATTTCAAGAGATGGGTGGATACAATCCATAGCAATCCACAGAATTTAGAAAATGAAAGGAGTTTCTGGTTTTCCATTGCTACCCACTTTTGCACTTATCCTTTGAATATTTGCAGGTTCCTTATTTAGGGATACCTTTATGATTTTCTAAAGTGATATGAGTGATATTAGCATTATATGGTTCAGGTCCAACCTATATTTGAGACCACATCTCCTTCTATGAACTGGTATGGGCTCTGAGATCTGCTGGGGAGGCCCTCCTCTTGGTCCCACCTCTGTCGCAAGCATGGCTGGTGGGGACAAGAGAGAGGGCCTTCTTGGTGGTGGCCCCTGGTGTTGGAATGCCCCGGTGTTGGATTAGGCTAGCCTCCACTTTCCAAGCCTTCCATACACAATTGAAGACATAGCTGTTTAGACAAGCCTTTGATAATGTTTAGAAACCCTTATCTGTTGACTGTCTTGTCATTGTATAATCGGCATTGAATGTTTGCCATATATGTGTTCTGTGATCTGCCCTAAGTCCCCTTCAAGGTGAGAAGGGCAGAATATAAGTACAGTAAATTAACATATCCGAGGACCTAGAGATTATTTCACCATGCACTTTATGCGACTGATATTGATTGCAGTTGTTCTACATCTGCAGCTATTGTTGCATTTTACTGATCTTACCGGGGGGGGGGGGGGGGATGATGTTTATGTTGGTTGTTATTGCTTTGAGTTATGTCATTGAACTTTTGTATTGTGTGTGTTTGCATCTTTGAGTGCTTTGTGAGCCACCCCGAGTCCCTCCAAGAGATGGTGGTGGAGTATAAAATATTATTTTAGTTAGTTGGAGCCCCCAGTGGCGCAGTGGGTTAAACCCCTGTGCCGGCAGGACTGAAGACTGACAGGTCACAGGTTCAAATCCGGGGAGAGGCAGATAAGCTCCCTCTATCAGCTCCAGCTCCTCATGCGGGGACATGAGAGAAGCCTCCCACAAGGATGATAAAAACATCAAAATCATCTGGGCATCCCCTGGGCAACGTCCTTTCAGATAGCCAATTCTCTCACACCAGAAGTGACTTGCAGTTTCTCAAGTTGCTCCTGACACGACAAAAAATTTTTTTAGTTAGTTTACTGTTCATTACCCCAAAGATGGTATTGCACCGTTTCAGGGACTCCGGTTCTTTGGATTTTCACATGGCAAAGATGACTAAATCAGGGGGGCCAGTGAGGGACAAACAGGACATATGATTCCTCTCAAAGATTTGTCATGGGAGGAAACATACAATTCTATTTTTTTTCTTATTTATATATTTATGGCTATGGTTCCAACATTGTGGAATTTAAATCTGATGCACAATTTCCCTCTCTAATGTGAGTTTCCCCTGAAGCATCTTTGCAGGATAAACTGACCAATCCTTTCAAAAATCCTAACATGTAAATCATCAAATAACCCACAATAAAGGTATTACAAGTGCATGAACCAAAGACACAGTAAGTGGCATATAAAAAGACAGGGGTGGGGCAGAAAGCAAAATGAAAATAAAAGGAAAGTTCAAAACAAAATGATGGTTTGAAGAGAAACTTTGGTACAGCCTCATGGATGACTGCAAAATGAACAAAAGACCAAAAGCACAGGAAAGAATTTCATCTACTCATGTTAGCAAACTGGCTCTTCTAGAAGCAAAATAGCTGAAACCGATCTGAATATTTACTTAGTTTAATTAATGTTCATACAGACTGTAGAATTTATGGAGTCAGTATGTAAAGAAGTTTTGTTGATTGGAATTTACAGTTTGTTTGGTTGGTTTTTGTTTGTTTTCTATCCTGATTTTCTACCAATGTGGAACTCAAGGCAACTTTAAAATGCTAACACAAGAAAACATGAATAACTTGATCATAAAATGTTAAAACAATTAAACATATTATCATATTAAAATGATATTAAAATTGTACAATCCTAAGCTTAACAAAAAAGTTAAAAATACAACATACACAAAAATAACTTCCTGATTCATTTATAAACCAAAAACGTATTTTCAGTTTCTTAGTTTGTTATGAAAAATCTCTAGCACATCAATCAGATTTCATGTTGTTAAGATATCAAGTTCCGTGAACAGAAAAAAAATCTGCGACTGGTATACATAGTATACAAGGGGTGTCCAAAAAGTAGGTTTCCCTATGCTAGGTTAAATCAAACAGTTGAAAAATTACAAATAAAATTTATTTACACCCTACAAGATTCTTTCACTTCTCAACATAGTCCCCAAGTTTCTATAGGAACTTCTGAAAATATGGTAACAAATATTGTATCCTTTGTGCACTCTACCCCTATACAAAGCTTCCCCAAGAACTCACAATATCTGGTTGCATTTATAGTGGTCCTATGTTCGAGGTAATCAATGAGGATATCACCTTGGGCACCCCAAAAAATGTTGGCCATCAATTTTTCTGCCGATGCTGTTGACCTTCGCTTTCTTTGGTGCACTCTCCTCCTTTCATTGCCACATGATGCTCTGAAGTTCTGTTGTTTTATCACAATGCAAGGTCCTACCCTGTGCGTCACACACAGTCACTCCTGCAGAAGTTCAGATTGGAAATCATTTGGCATCCTCCATAATCTCCTGATCAGCCCCTAGTGACGTCCATGTATTCCCCAACCTCAAAACTCACCTAGGGGGCTGTAGCTTTTGCACTGATGGTGAGGTCAACATGGATAAGAAGTATGGGGGGGGGGGGCAGAGTGGTATGCACAAGGCATACAAAAATTATTAACATGTTTTCAGAAGTGCCTGGAGAAACTTGGGGACTATGTTGAGAAATGAAGGAACTTTGTAGAGTGTAAATGAATTTTGTTTGCAATTTTTCAACCGTTATTTGATTTATCCTAGCATAGGGAAACACACTTTTTGGACATTCCTCATACAAATGAAACAACCATACAAAAATGAATTTTAAGAATGTAAGGAGAGCTATGAGGAATGAGTCCAAAGATCAATCAGGTCACGTGTATCACCTTCTCAATGGTGGCCAACCTGAACCTTCCCAGAAGTTCATGAGAAAGGTCTGAAGGCCATAGCCACCCACTGCTGTTTACCTAGATTTCAAAAGAATAATATGTTATTGCCTTTAACCCTGGCTTCCAGACTTAGGTGCAGCAACAGCAAGCAGCAACAGTGTATACCATGAGAAAAAAGTATATAGCACAAAATATAAATATTGTGGTACAAAGCACTTACAGCAATTTTTTTCATCTGCATTGTCAGGACAATCTGCAAATCCATCACATATCATTGTATGTTTGATGCACAATTTGCTTGTTGGGCATTCCCAAAGACCTCTTTCCTTGCATCCTAGAAGCAACAATTACAAGCGTTATATTTTGTTCCAAATAAGTCAAATATAAAAAGAGATAACTATGTTAGGACATGTTCGGGCTGTGAAAACATGGAGCCATGGACACACAAGGGAAGCACAAGTGGAAAGCAATTAGAACTCTGAAAGTTTTATTTTAAGCTTTATAATATTAAATAGAGCTTGAATTAACAATGGGGTGAAGAAAGAGATCCGTCGGAAGGTAGTTTATATTCAATTCACTCCATTATGCACTGGACCTCATATGCGCACATGCAAATCTGCTTACAGATTTGCATGTGTGCATGTGCATGTGTGTTTACATTAAGATATTTGCAAGAGCATATATACATATATACAGTCCAGGGCATGACAGAGTGAATTCTTTTTTTAAAAAATCCACCAGATGTCCCCCGTCTGCACTCCTTGATCTGCTACAAAAGAAGGCTGTGAGGGTGGCAAGGAACAATTTTTTCAGGACTGACAGATCTGTGTGTGGATCTTCTGTCAGGTCCTGGAACTTTTTGCTCAGTTATAAAACACGGATTTTGGTGCTGTTTGGAAGCACCCTAGATCCATAAGCCTCCTGGGGCAGACTATTTTAATGAGTCCTCCTCTCCTGGAGAATTTATGAATCCCAACAATTCTAAACTCCTCAAGGTTCCTCCAATTCTAAAATACATTCACTGAATCCGCTACATAAAACAAGGTCCAAAACTGCAAAAGAGAGAAATATTGTTTAAGTGTGGGTTAATAATTCTTGTTTTTCAGCAAACAACAGAATGTAAAACTTCATTTACCACAGTTCTCTTCATCGCTGTCATCTTCACAATCTGCCTGACCATCACATCTTCTAGAGGCCAGCACACACCTCCCTGAATGACATTTGAAGTGACTGGGTGAGCACTCTGCCAAAAAAAATTACAAAGCCAAGTCAGGTACAATGCTTTGCCACATCAAGATGAATAAGAGATGTTAAAAGAGAGCACACTTGTCTCCCAGCATTGCACCTGTTAAATACTAATATGCAAGCCAGCAACTCAGATGCTGGCTCAGCTACCAGCTCCAACATTCCTCATTCTAGTTTTCTGCTTTTTAATAGATTTCTGTGTGCGTGTTTATGTGTGAGAAAAAGAACATCATTCATTTTAAAGGAGTGTCTTACTGGCAACATTGAGATACATGAACAACATGGTAGGTGTCTTATTAGCAACATTGAGCTACATAAACAATTTGCCTCAGGTATTAGCTTTTGGACACAACTTAGGAAAAACAGATCTAGACAGATCAATCCCATAAGGAATAACTCAGAACCTTCTGTTCAGGCCAGCTACCCTGAACATTATAATTTCTTGTGTACTACAAAGTTCTTGAACAGTTCCCAATTATTTTACTTAGGAATTCAGAATATGGGCTATTTTTCTGTTGAATTAGGGTAAATCTTCATGTATTTATAATTAATGATATTAATACGTGGACTGTCTACAGACGTCACATGCAACTCCTGGAACGATTCCATCAACACTGCCTCTGGAAAATCCTGCAAATCTCTTGGGAAGACAGGCGGACAAACACCAGCATGCTGGAAGAAGCAAAGGCCACCAGCATTGAAGCGATGGTCCTCCACCATCAACTCCACTGGACTGGCCACGTTGTCCGGATGCCTGACCACCATCTCCCAAAGCAGTTGCTCTACTCCGAACTCAAGAACGGAAAACGGAATGTTGGTGGGCAGGAAAAGAAATTTAAAGATGGGCTCAAAGCGAACCTTAAAAACTCTGGCATAGACATTGAGAACTGGGAAGTCCTGGCCCTTGAGCACTCTAGCTGGATACAGATCAAGAATAGGGCTCCACAGTCACCTACGTACCCACCAGAATACTGATACTGGAAGACTATCCTACTCGGCCAATGAGGGATCGCCTAAGTCAGTATTAACAAATGTCAAGCATTTTATATTTCAAGAAAGTCTGATAAATATTATAGCACGCTAGCCTTAAATACACTTATACCCAAAAGCTAGTTTCTCTGGCTACCATTTACTTCACTAAAATCTAATAATTTTATCTTCCAGTTAAGAGATTACATTTTGAAAAAGTATTACACATTCTCCAGTTTCCTCTTTCCATTCATATATCTAAAGTTGGACTAGAGGAAGACCTTAAGCAGAAGCCAATGAAGTGCTACCACTCATGTGCTCAATGTCTAGCTAAAATGTTCAGAAAATTAAGTAACCTTCTACATCATCGTCAGGTGTAAGACAGGTCTGATTATCTGAGCTTTCTTCTGGGAATTGAGAGCAATCGGTATCTTCTGGCCATTGTAAACCAACAATTCCAAGAACTGACTCACATCGCTCCTTGGACTGTTCACAAAGTGTTCTGCAAAGGTTAAATTGGGAGGAGAAAGAAGGAAAGAAAGAGGTAATGTCTTGGATAGATAAAAAAACTGGCAACAGAACAAAAACTGGTTATGAAATTAAGATTTATAAAACCACACAGCAAATGAATATATTGAAATTTTTCCTAGTAAGTTGACGATTCAGCTGATAGTTTAATTCTAAGATTTTTTTTGAGTCAATATGTTATTACTTAGAGTGGGCCATATCAACAGATAAGCTCTTAATATTTCAGGAAGTGCATACAAGCAGCTGCACATAGAAATGAACATTTTTGGAAATGTCACTCTTGGTGATGTTAAGACATACTTCAGCCACATTTTTCCCACTGCAAGGAAAACTTTAAAAACTGCCAGTTTTGAAAGCTGTTTGCAGTTTAGAATCCAATCTGCAAAAAGAAATCTGCGCAAGTACTTTTTGCACAGAAAACAACATTTTTTTGTATATATCTGGCAAACCCTGGTTTCAGAAGCCATTTTGTGTCCCACTCAGGGAGACCTGGGCAGGAAGAGTCCCAAAATATTATTGCTTTCTATTAGGAGTTGTGGACTTCTGATTCTATATCCAAATCTCTAGAAGAACTAGATCAAAAAATGGTTCCACAACAAATACTAGATATAGAAGCTCAGAAAGAAATTGCTACCCTCAACAAAGCCAGCTCATTGAAATGGTGAAGTGATTTTAAACATACTTTTCAAACAGCCCAATATCTAAAGACAGAAATGTCTAAACACCTCAGGAAGGTATTTACCAGAACTAGATTTGAACAGCTGGATACAATGGTCAAACATGGAAGGTTTAACCAAGTTCCATATAATGGTAGGTTACATACCTGTGACCATCTTTCTTCGAGTGGTGCTCTGCGAATTCACACTTGTGGAGAGACTGCGCCTGCGCGGGCTCCAACGGAAACTTCTACTTTTTAAAACTTTTCAAGTTTTGGCGGTAACCCCGCCCAGCCCCGGCAGGGGATAAAAGGGCGCCCCGCGCACACCGATCCAATTCCTACGCCGCCACGGTAGCGAGAAATTGGAGGTTTGCTTAGAGGGGAGGCTGGGCGGGTTAGTGTGAATTCGCAGAGCACCACTCGAAGAAAGATGGTCACAGGTATGTAACCTACCATTTTTTTCCTTTCGTGGTCTCTGCGAATGCACACTTGTGGAGAGACTGCGCCTGCGCGGGTTCCAACGGAAACTTCTACAGGATGATAGAAGTAGGGGAGGGTGGGTAGGGAGGAAGGGAGGGGGATAGTAGGAGTAGGTGGATTTGAGACAATCAATCCAGGGAATGTGGGTGATTGGGGGGGGGGTGGGATAATTTGGATGTCAGGAGGGGTAGGTGGAGGATGAGTAAGTGGTTGGGGGAGGGGGGTGGGTGGCGAAGGTTGGTGGGGACAGAGCTCAACTGGTCATTTTTCTTCGTGGTCTCTGCGAATGCACACTTGTGGAGACTAGCAAGCTTAGGTCCCGGAGGCGGGAAGAAGGCAAACCGACCAATAAAGCCAAGGGCCAAACAATTTTATTAAGTGCAAACAGTTACCAAACAAGAGATTGCAATCACTTCCGAAGAAGGGCACAGTGCATAAACTTATGGGAGTACGTGTTCCTCCCGGCCACGTGAGGGTGGCCAATTCACAGTGAAAAACACTCGACGATCGAGGGCATTTTTGAACAATTATATAAACTTTGACCCTTAGAAACAAACAACATAGTGATTGTCGAAAACACTCATCGCAATGAGGGCACTTTAAGTAGTTATACAAAAACACTATTGTTAACGAGTGCAAAAACACATTTGCAAGGCAAAATGGTCGATAGCGAAACAAAGCGCTACCCGTAATGAGCCTAACGAGGCTATAGTGCAAGGTTGCCTGCGCCTTAGGCAGGAAAGACATCAAGTACAACAGGTGCATTTACATTCACCATCATTGGTAAACAGCTCTAATCGAGCAAACACATGGCAATAAAATTCACAACAATGTACGGTACCGAAAAGGTTCACGGTATCGACGCAACCAAATAGTTTTAAAGGGTCCTAGTGCGGACACGACTCCAGAATTGCCCTCCCAAAGGCCATGTCAGGTGTATACCTGGTATTCAGTCTGTAATGTGAAACAAATGTCTGAGGATTCTTCCAAATGGCCACCTTACAAATAGCGTCCAGCGGAATTCCTTTAAGGAAGGCTGTCGATGCCGCCATAGCCCTGGTTGACCGAGCCCGGACAACCGAGGGAGGTTGTTGTCGAGCCAGCTGGTAACAAAGCTCGATGGTCGAGGTGATCCAATGAGACAAGCGTTGTGCCGTAATCGGCAAGCCCACCTTATCATGGGCGTACGCAACAAACAGTCGTTGGGTTCTTCGAGACTGAGCAGTTCTGTCCCTGTAACACAGTAATGCTCTCCGCACGTCGAGCATATGAAGTCTTTTCTCCGTCGGGGTAGAGGGAGATTGACACAACGAGGGAAGGACAACGTCCTCATTAACATGGAAAGGGGATACAACTTTAGGGAGGAATGTCACGTCTGTGCGGAGAACCACCCTGTCCTCGTGGACAACAAAGTACGGTTCGTCCACACGCAGTGCCGCGAGTTCCGACGGCCGACGGGCCGAGGTGATAGCAACCAGAAAGGCTACCTTCCACGACAGCAGCCGAAGGTCGATCGATGCCAAAGGTTCAAAGGGCGCTTGAGCGAGCCGAGCCAGCACGAGGTCGAGGTCCCAGCCTGGAGTTGGGGAACGGACTGGGGGGTGCAGGTTGTTGAAACCCCGCAGGAAGGACTTCACGGAGCTATCCTTAAACAAGGAAGCTTTTCCTGTCCGTTGAAGCTGCCAAGAAATGGCCGCTAGGTGAGACTTGAGCGACGATAGCGACAAGCTCCGTTCGGTAAGGTGCAATAAGAACAAGAGAATTGACGGTACCGAAGGCCGATGATCGTCTAATCCCCTCTCGGAGAGGAAGGCCTGGAAGCGGTTAAGGCACGCCGAGTAGCATTTTTTGGTTGCTGGCTTGTGAGCTGCAGCCAGGATCGGGAGTACCCCTGGACATAGGGACCTCAGAACTGGATCCTCCATGCCGAAAGATGCAGAGAAGTGAGGTCGGGATGGAGTAGCTGACCGTCTTCCCTGGAGAGCAGGTCCTGCCGAAGTGGAAGGCGCCTCATCCGTCCCTCGGACAACTGGAGGAGGACCGAGAACCACGGTTGTCGTGGCCATTCCGGCGCTATTAAGATGCAGTTCGCTTGCGCCGACTGGATCCTCTCGATCACCCTCGGGATGAGCGGGAAGGGTGGGAAGAAGAGCAGATGCCTTGACCAATCTAGAAGAAACGCGTCTCCGAGACACCCCGGTATCGTGTTCGGAGCAAGTCGAGCACCGAACTGCGGGAGCTGAGCGTTTTGCGGCGATGCGAAGAGATCTGCAGCCGGAAGGCCCCAATCCCTGAAGATCTCGGCCAGTTCGTCGGGATTCAGCCTCCACTCGTGCGAGGTTGACTTGGTTCTGCTGAGTGCGTCTGCCTCGACATTGGTCTCGCCCGGAAGGTGCAGAGCTGTTATCGACACCAACCTGGCTACACACCACTCCCATAGTTCCAGTGACAGTTTGAGGAGTTTCCTTGAGCCCGTTCCGCCCTGTTTGTTCACGTAGAACATCGCCACCATGTTGTCCGTGAGAATCTGGACAGACTTCCCGGTGACCAGGAGGGCAAAAGCCCTCAGGGCTTTGAAGATTGCTAGCAATTCCAAGTAATTTATGTGGCATTGTCTTTCTTGAGGAGACCAGAGGTCGTGCACCGAGAGTTCTCCTGTATGGCATCCCCATGCGAACATCGAGGCGTCCGTCGTGATCGTGAGGGTTGGGGGCTCTGGGTGAAAGGGAATGCCCTTGCAGACATGCTGGCGATTCATCCACCAGTTTAAGGAGTCCTTTACCGACCGCGGTATCAGCAAGCGTTTTGCGGCGGTGTCCCGCATGGGGTTGAAGTGGTCCAGAAACCATCTCTGGAGGGGTCGGAAGCGGAGTCTCGCCAACGGTGTCACCATCACC